ATCAACATGAACATGTAAATGATCTCAAAGTTGTATTCGAAAGGATTCGCAAATTTAATTTGAAAATGAATCTGCTTAAATGCGCTTTTGGTGTGTCATCCGGTAAATTTCTCGAATTTATTGTACGCCATAGAGGGATCGAAATTGATCCCGATAAAATTCAAGCAATAGTGGAACAGGTGTAAGTCTGCTAGGCTGTAGCTCAAGAGAAAGCCTACCACCTGAGTCAAAGAAAGTCGAGCTATTTGTTATTTAATTAATAAATATAAAAATAAATAAAATGCATAAATACCTTCATCCATATGAGGAAACTCATATGGGCTCGGAGAAGTATGTGTAGTATCCAGGCAAACTGCCTCTAAAGCAGAAGAGACAGGAAGAGTGTGGGGAGTGTCCTGTATATCAACAGAAGCATGCCGAGATGCTGAAAATCAAACAGAGAAAATATTTTAAAATATGATATGATATTTAAATTTAAAATATAATACCCAATTGAGGTAAATGTGTAACCTGTATGCTCGTACGAAGTCCTGCTCCTAGGTCGACCCCTCTCTAGAGAAGGAGAAGTAGGCCTACGCCCATGCGAGGAGGCTACAAATATTATAATTTAATCATATATGTGTGTATGAGAGGATATATATAATAAATAAAATAACAATACTAATATACGTACCAGGGTAGCCACGTCTATAAATAGGCTCGGGACTCCTCTTTCGCCTTTTATCTGACGCTCAATAAGACTCTGTACGTGCGGGAGTGTAATCCCTCGAGCCTGACGAATGCCTCGATCGGCCAATGCCCTTGATCCTCCTACTGTATCTCTAAATGCCTAGCTCAAAAAAGGAGGAAAAGATGTGTCGAATCCAGAGCAGCCGCAAGTGTGAAATGCCGATAGGAGCATCTGTATGTGCTATATAAAACCGAGAACTCGTCCCAAATCGTAGGAGAAAAGCCCAAGTCATGGCGGCCACCTCAAGACAAGCTCAAAATGAAAAAGAACTGAAATGGAGATGATCTGTCACCCTAGGAAGTGTTGGAAGTCCATCCAAGGGAGTGGCCTGAACAAAACCAAAATGTCACGCTACTTTATTTGGGTTATACCCCTCCAAGACTATAGAGCAATCTTTCCTGTAACAAAGTCATCCAAGTCTCATGCTGACAAAGTAAGAAGCACTAGGCGCAAAGCCGCTCCTGGAAAGCAAAGTAGGCATGCCCCTCTCTGTCAAAGAATCTAAAAGTGAAACTCCTAAGCTCCGGAAGGGTAAATCTCCAACTGGGGACCTGTAAACTAGTCTAAAAAGACTGGCCATGTGTAAGGGTGCAAAGAAAAATAATCTGATCTGAGCCCTATCTATAGCTGTCTAGCTGAGAACCCCCTAGCTAACTAGATTAATAGGGGGAAGAAGTGATCTGAATAGTGGCCCAGTGACTCAGCGCAACAAGCTCCCTATACATATATATGCACCCACCATGGACATAATGCCATGGTACCTCAACCACACGCTGTTGACGACTATAAAAGGCAGAAATCTATCCAAAACCTTAGTATATCAGTGCAATTGCGGTCAGGGCTAAAGAAACCTGTCTCACACTAGCAATCAGGTTAGCCATCACAAGCGTACTGGGATGAAAGGATCTATCCTGACTCAGAAAGACAAAACTGCACAACCAAGTGGCTACCAAAGCCACCAAGGACATCTCCTCTAAAATCCCCCTAATGGTAACTAGCCAAACTCCTGCTGTCGAACCAGGCTCAAAAAACTCAACTGAAGCCTGCTCGTTATACTAAAGATATATGTCAAAGGGATCATGGGGCTGAGCAATCAACAATACATATGCCTCTTGGAGCAACAAACTCTTAATCCAACTATCCAAGGAAACTACAGTTACAAAGCGGTGACCTCTATATCTCAGAAGGCGATAATAATGGGTTAAACTCTGGTGAAGACCATCTGAGTAAACAAACTCTCCCCGTCTCAAGTGACCAGCTGGCCGACGCCTGAACAAGTCGTAGTCCTGAGAAATGCACTCTTCGTAAGGAATGCCCAAAATATGTAGGTCAGAAATCAACTGCAAATCCTAAAGGGTAATCGTCATCTCGTTCGGTCCAATCCAGCAAGTGTTTGTGGTACTATCCCAGTGCTCCACTAATGCCTGAAGCCAAGAGTACGAAAGCCAGCTATAATCAAATAATGAGGCATAAATGGCTTTGTAGACGTCTGCCTGCTGAAGTACCATGTGATGAGCTCTCAGGACGTATCGAGTCCAACAAACATAGCCCTTCAGCAAATTGAAAGGCCTCCCAAATATCGAATCATATTGTTGTTCTTCAATCCCATGGCGAGATAAACTATAACTCAACAGTCTAATGGTATCGATCCGCTCTACAAGATCTGCAGTAGGGTGTAACACATCCTGAGCTCCATAACTCAAGCCCTCGATGATCCGATCCAAAGACCTGCCATTACTGTGACGAAGCCTGCGAGTAACTACCCAATCTGTAGGATCATGCCCTACAGAAAGCTCTGACTAAAAAGCAGGTAATCGAGGTGAGCGAATGAACAACCCAGCATATGTACCTCTATTCATCAACATCTCTTGATGCCATGACAACCGATTTCTAATGGAGGCAGACTGGATGAAATCACATCTGTCAATCTCCCTCCAAATATAATTCTCAGAAGGCTCGGTATCAGGCATTGAGCGGAGCCTGATCCAATCAAAAGACATAACCTGAGAAAAGGAAGAGAATCTATCAAGTTTGAATATTCAAATAATGTTACAACAAATTTATTGTGTGAAAACACCCAACAAATTTGTTGGGAGTCAATTTGTTCAAACAAGAACTAGATTTCACATTAAATTAAAGCTGCAGTTAATTTGCTAAACAAAAGAAGCAAATAATATTTCGAGTTTCTGATTTAAAGAAGGCATATAAAACTCATATGTGTCAATTATTTTATATATGGACACCAATGATCAAATCATACGCAAAGCTTTCGACTCCAATATGCATTTGGAATTTATATGTCCATCCATGAATACTAATAACTTAGCAAAAGACATACACATTGAGATAAATAAGAATTTGACGATTTGGGCTCATTGGATTCGTCACGCCGAGCCGCTTGATTCGACTATCACGCTTAGAAGCTGTTTGGTAACCAAATTTATGGTTTGAACCTTCCAAATGTGCTTCGAGGCCTTGATTTGGATCTATTTGAGCTCGGATTGGACTGAATTTGGTGTCTTTAAATTCGTATTTCCAAGACATTCAGTTCGACTATAAGTTTACTGAAATCGGAGTTCATATGATCACCGATTTAATTTTTGAAGTTTCTAACTTAATTTTGTCTCGAAATTCATGTCTGGTCAAGATAATTTATTTTGATGATATATCAATTATCAAACTCAGAAACATATCTATGGCATATGAATGGGGAAAGTTTTCTTTTAATCATAAACCAGTTACAAATACTTCTATTGGGTTCGGTTTGGTCATAGTAATGTCAAACTTAGGTGATATCAACCCCAAAGGCATGAAATAAATTTCATTCCTGAAGAATAATGAGCTAGCAAAAGAATGATAATGTCGATCTGCCTTACATAAACATCATGAAGATTTTGAGTGTTTTTTCTGTGTTATATGACATAAGGTCATAGGAAATCTATATGGGAAATGACTTTTTCCTAGATTTGAATCTGTCAAATTCCAAGATTTAATCATTAGTATTATCTTCTTATGCTATAAGAAAATTGTTTCAAATAAAAAAAAAATGACTATCATTAACGACGTATGAGAACCTTGATATCAAGCACAAGAATTAATCTTGAACACCCAACAGTTAGCGGGTATTGTAAAGAGCAAAATAAT